TTTTTTTTTTATTTGTATAGAATTTGCTTACAAAAATAACTATACATTAACGATTTGGATGGCTCATTTGATCGATCCAATTAAAATCGTTTTACAAAATTTTTATTTCTTATTTGTATCTATAAGTTTTTGTAATGGCTTATTAAGTTTAAATAAAATAATGATAGTTTTTATCTAAAAATTAAAAAAAAAACATTTTAATGAAAAAATATATATTTTCTTTGGCGTTTATTTATCACGCACTTAAATGAACTTTTTATTAAGAAGTACCTTTAATATATTTATTAAAAGTATACTACAAACATCAATAGTACGCAAATATATACGTTGAGGAAAATAAATTTGGGAATCAATRTTCGGGAGGATCTACATGAACCTTAATGTCTTATTAACTATTATAATATAAACTTGAGTATTCTGAATAATTATCCTGTTTATAATATTATTCTCTGTGATGTGTGGAAAATTTGTTGGCTTAGTGATTAGCGATTACATAAAAATATCTATATTTCCAGGAAAACGTCGGTATTGATGGACGTATTCTGTTTCCTGTAAAAAGGGTATTCTYGTAATAAGAACCAGATCTCTATTGTATAACTTAAGTACTTCAAGTATACTTTTTTCACTCCTACTTGGTAATTTTCTAGTTGCATTATTTTATCTTGAACTGCAGTTGAATAAAATATACCTACAGCTTCATCAAAGATATAGAAATCGAAAATTTATTGTAAACAACTAACCATAATATGTAATGTACTAACAAAATCATTGTAATAACTAATCAGACTAATCTTATATAATTGTTAATTGTCAAACGTCAGCCAGTATCCTTTGCTGCCAAGGCTTATTCTAATAAAAAAAAATATATATATATACCTACCAATAATATATATTTTACGTATATGAGTTGATTAAATTGTATGTGTTATAATATATGTATGTATGTACAATAAATGTAATTAATAATATATTTTAATAACTCAAAATATCTGATGATTAAATACTATATATTATATATATATGTGTGTATACGTATGTATTGTATATACTATGAATTATTTAATTACATTTGGTCTGGTTTGGTACCAACTGGAATGGCAATGAAATATTATAAATTTATAACCATTGCCCAATTCCAAGAAGTATTGTAGTGAATAGTTCTAAATTACACCTGTCTTTGTCGTAAAGTACGTAATTAAGTAATTTTATTGCATTGCATTTTCAATTTTGCTTTGGAAATGTGAAACCATAAAAAAGAGAAGGCATTTTTTATTCAAAACTGCAAATCTGAATTTATAACTGTATATTAAAAATACTCAAACAAATTATAAAATTTTAGAAGTATAATATGATGTTTATTGGTTATAGTTATCGTAGTTTATAAATATA